ATGGCGCGTCGCGTAGCGTCGAACGGGAGCCAGGAGATCGAAAAGAACGCGGTTAGCGAGGAAGAGCGAACGGTGGAGGACTGTCAGTCCATCAGAGAGCCGGCGAGCCGGGAATACCGAGGATGGCTTCCCAGCTTACTCGACGAACAGCTCTATCTGTCGAGCACGAGCGGGCAAAAAGCGACGGCCCGCGTGGTCGCACGCACGACCAACGGAAAGCACCGGCAACGGCGGGGGGTTAGGACCCGAGCAACCGAGAAAAACCCTCTTCTTGCCTCTCTTTGTTTCAAGTGTTCGGGAAGGAGGTGGTGGTGGTGGTGATAGGAAGCGGAGAGGAAATTTGCATCGGAACGTGACGTTGGAATTTCACCAGCACCGAACTCGAAACTCTAGGAAAAGCGTATGTATGTATGTACTTAGCGGGGAACGCTCCAGTTCGTTTCGGTTTCTGTGGATCAGCCGTGAAGGATTATACGAGCGTTCAAAAGGAAGATACTACCGGTGCCCAGGGGGATGATTTAGTAACCCAAGGATGCGGAGGATAATCGTATGAAATATTGTTGTATCGTAGCGCGGCAACGATCACCGCGTGCGTGTGTGTACACACGGCGAATGCCTGGTGCGCGCGCACCGCGGCATCGTTGACCTCGGGGAATGCGAGGTCTTTCGGTAAAGTTAACGTACAGGGAATTTCATACAATATCGAGGAACCTTTTTTAGTTCCGTCCCCGCGAAGAAAACGTGGAAAGGCGGGGCTATTAACTCGTCGAATCGTCTCGCATTAATCGAGGCCTGCGAGATCGTCCCGCGGAGAGCCTGTTAAGAATCGGCGAGGAGGAGAAGCGTATCGATCGTTGATCGAGGCGGGGCGAAACTAGAGCCTCGACCCGACTATAAAGTTCTCCGGAGGATGAAACGAAACAGACGTTATTAGATATCCCGCGCGCGCACCACCAACAGAATTTCAAACGAACTACATATTTAACTGTAGCACAGGATCTCTGTGTAGCGAGCGTTCCGCAAACCGGTCTAGCAATTACGCAGGAGATCGATTGCAGCCTCGTAATAGGCCCTTCTTAACCGTTGAGCACCTATGAATCTATACGAACGAAACTTTAATAATTTCCAGCGATAATTGCTTCATACACGCAAATGTCTACCGGGGGAGCTCCGATTTTTCTCCTTGCTCGGCTCCAAACCCACGAATCCATAATATCCGTTGGTCTTCTTATTTGCGTCCTGTACGCACCACGCGGTCGTCCATCCGTGCGTTCAATAGGAACGTAAATACGCGCAATTACCGTCACGCGTTCTCCGAGAGAGACGGAGAGAATGGTCAATCGCTAGATAGCCAGCGTGGAGGTGTTTTCGCAGCTGTGACGGTTTTCGGACACTTTTGGACGCTCGGGGGCAGAGGAAAGGACGAAAAGAGAGCGGAGAACCTCGTCCAAGGCGGCAGAGGCGCGAGCATGCTGAGAGCCATCCGAGGCACCGTATTTTATAACCGGTGTAGACAGCCACCGCACGTACAGACGGTTCTCTACCTCTGTCGCGATGCTTGTACGTACCACGTAGCGAAGGCTCGCGCTCGTTCTTCGTGGTCCAGGGAACGTGGGACCCCACTGACCGCCGCGGTCCATGCTCGGCCACCGCGACGTCCGAGCCCGTTTTTCCGTTCCCGTCTTCCTCGTACTCCCCGATACCGGAGGGATGCTACCGCTCGTGAATTGCGCGCGTTGCTTCGATTAATTATAGTACTAAAATGCTAGTACGTAAAAAGGACGAGAACAGCACGGAGGGCAGTTCGAATAATAGGAAGAGTAGAACTTGGATACCGCGAGAAACACCGAAGGTATAATCGGTGGAACAAACGTAGCGAGGTTGTTAATTAAAGCAAAGTCGACGAAACGAGGTCGACTCCACGAGCACCCGGTAGATCAAGTTGTCCTTCGTGATTCCGTGCAGAATGTTACGCGAGTCAAGAGGAAAGAGGAGGAAACGCGTTGGAAATTCGCCTTTGTGCGAGGAAGCTTTTTGAAAATACAACAACAACTCGATTCTCCTCGTAGAAGGGGTGCAAGGTATTTGGTTCGTGCTTGCTAGTATTCACCGAGCTATGCACGCTTTGCACGGCCTTTTCGAAGGAAACCGACGGCGGATTGTATTCCGTATACACCCCGATTGAAATCGATATTCCCGGCAAGGTCGGGGCGCAACAAAAACCAGCAGAACAATGCATCGGCTGGTGTACATTCGCCGAGCACGGCGAATAACAGGTAAAACTGCTCGCGATTTAATACAGCTCTTTCTTCCTTCTCTCGACCCGGTTCTGTTTCCTCTCCGAGTTCTCGCCAGCCTCCCTCTCTCTCTCTCTCTCTGTTCGCGTAAAATTAACGAAAACCTTCGGTAGGCAAAGGTTGATAAATAATCAGTGTACCACCCACCATGGTTCGGTGTAATTTTCGGGGCCGCAGATCTCTATTCAGCGATCGAGACGAGGGAAAAGATGGTCGCGGTAACAAAAGAATGATATTCGCGACGAGTCTGGATTATCTGATACGTATCACCGGGACGAAACGCGCGGGAATGCAATTTAGAAATGCAAATCTAAATTGGAAAATTATGCAGATGTGTCGCGAGACGGTGGAGAGACAGAGAGACAGGGCGGCGAGGGGAGAGAAGACGAAACTGGAGTGGCGTAAAATAAACGAATAGGAATTAATCTGTCGATAGAAAGTGAAACTATCGTCGCGCGCGATCGTGAGTTACTAGATTAGCGGGAAAAATTGTGAACATCATAGTGTCGTAATAGGATACCCGGTCGCACGTATCACGTGCCGGCTTTAATAATTCAGCGAACAGAAACGCACTCGATAACATCGTCCGCGAACCGCAACTGGTTGTCCACCGGATAGGTGACGTCAACGAGGAATTAAGCGGTAACTAATGCGAAGGATTAACGAAGACGCGTTACCTACGAGACGTGCCGCGTGAAACCGCCGCGGAGGAGAAGGGAGGATCGAAAGTGGTTTTTGCGCGAAATTAGTCCGTAATATTGGTCTCGATGACGCTTGACAGTAATTGATTAGCCTGATGGTCGGGAGGAAAGTGAAACTCGCCATTCCGCGTTTTCCCGGGTAAAGGAAAAAGATAGGTAACCGAAAGGTTGGAGCTAGGGAATCTTTGAAAATCGATCCGCAGCTTCTCTTCCCCCTACCTTTTTTTCCTCCCCTTTTCACGGTGTTTAATGCTTTCGTCGTACTCGTCTTGCTCGACTCAGCAAGCCGCAGAAAGCATGCAATGCCTCTTGAAGGTGGCAACAGTGTTGGCGGGAAAGTTATTCGACCGGCTGCCACTAAATCATTCTTCGTGGACTCCTGCTTTATTATCTACCGTCTCTCTCTCGCTCTCAGCCTTCGTTGCTTCCTTTTTGTCTTTCTTCGCCTACCTCGATGGGAGCTCGCCTCTCTCTTTCCCCCCTCGCCGTTTCCGTAGCTATCTCGCCGGTAGATACATACTCGGTCGTTTATTCGCGGTAGAAAACGCGAGGATAGTTGTACGCGAGATTCTTCAAGTGCTTTTAACGCTCAATCACATAGAGAGTTTGTATAGTGAACTGGTTGTTACCGTTCCGTTGAAAAATGTGAAGAGCGATTGGTAGCGACGACTCGATCGAGCACACGTAACGAAGTAATCGATCATCGGGACACAATCGCAGTGGGATCTCGTGATTCCACGTTCCCGTCGAACATGGGCGGAACGATTTCACCCGGTGGAACACACTCGGATCACGGCTAGATGGCCGGTGCGATACCTCGAACGCGAGAAGAAACTTTAAACTGTGATTAAAGCAGCTCTGGCTGGGTTAAAGGGTTCATTACCGTCCCGTGGCTCGCGTCTCGCTTTCCTCGACCGTTGCCACGCACCACGACTACTACTATCCTGCAAATTACGTTCCGCGTTTGATAAATTTACGAGTTTCCCCCTCCCCGGCCGCTCGTCCCGAGCGTTAACCAGCGTGCGATCGATCGCGGTGCCAATTACACCCGTCTATCGATCGCGCAACACTTCCGATACCGTGCGCCGCTGCGCGAAATTCGAAAAAAAGCCTCTGCTTCTCGAGCGAACGAAACGCCCATCCTCGTGGTCAATGAAGAATTCAAGGCCGTCTCGTCTCACCTGTGGTTAGACACTCGATTTACCTGGGCTGGTACACCGACGAACAAGCGTTCGCGTTCGTTCGGGAAAGGAGAAGCGACGAAAAATGTTGCACCGTGTAATCCATCGAGGTTGAAAGGTGGCGATGCGTGTGTGCATAAATGACAAGTGCTGGAAGCACGCAGACGTCCATCACCGCCTCCGCTTGTGCGTCGCGTTTCACGAATCCTCCGGGACACAGGGGAGGAGCGAAACAGGCAACTCGTACAATTAGTCACCAGGCCCGCGATTACGAATGGGCCATCTCCGCGGACGGTCCCCAACGGAGTATCCTGTTTCAGAAACGCCGAATCGAATTAAACCTGTACCTACCCTGGCTTTCAATTTCCGGACGTAACCTTATTTCTTCTTCTCTCCGTCGCCTCTCAACCGGCTCTTTCGACTCGAATTGTCCTTTTACTCGTTGTGGATAATAGATAGGTTCGCCTAACTATGATCGTTGGACGCGTTTTGCACGGTGTTGAAGCAACACCACTTGTCGGCACGCAATTAATTTGAATACGTCGATCGTTTCAGGTGCAGGCGACCGATCCGGATTGTGGCGTGAACGCCATGGTAAATTACACGTTGGCCGCGGGAAGAATGGAAAGCGAACAGCTGATGGTGCGCAGCGATACCGGGGACATTTGCGTCAGAACACCGTTGGACAGAGAGACCGCACCCTACCTAGAGATTCCCGTCATCGCCACCGACAGAGGTATGTGCAAATCGGTATTATGCAATTATTTCACACGGTGAGAAAAGAGTGCACTCTACCGCGAGGCATCTCGTAAACTCTCGCCCGATACGTCGATCGATTAGCATTGGCGTTCCGTAACGAATCTTCCGTGACCAAAATAGGAGCTGCGGGCAAAGCGCGAACAATGCTTTTCCTCGGTCCCCTTATCGCGGCCGCGTAGAATAGGTGCGACGCAGAAACGAGAACAGAAAGCGCAGAGCGTGGCGACACACACGGCTGGAAACGTGGCACCAGGAAGAAAAGAAGAAGCGGCCACGGGAGCTGCCGCGCGCGCGCGCGCGCTCGCTCGCTCGCTCGCTCGCTCGCTCGCTGCTGGTGCACGGTGTGCCCATTTTCAACAGCCTCTGTCCAGGCTGCCCCGTACCAGCGAGGACAATGACTGAAGTCCATTGATCCGTCGGAAGGCCGGCATTGACCTTGCAACAGGTAGCAGGTTCTTGGACGATTAGCGTTTAAGCGAATAAAAGAGAAGAAGAGAGAAATGTGGAATTAAAAGGAAGATTATAGGGGACAGAGGGGAAGAAGAGGAGTGAGTCGGGTGAAACGCAGATAGATGTTACGAGAACGAAGAGGAAGAGGTCTATTGTTGGCAAGAAACCGTTTTGCAAACAGAAGAACTCCTCGTCCATAATTGTCGCTCGTTATCGATACGATTGTTCGGCGTGCTACCACACTCACCGACACCATCGGCACAATAGTACCGCTCTTGGATATGACGGGGGAGAGCAGGCGTGCGGGTCAAGCACGAGCGGCGTCGCACCACGCGAGTCAGCTTCGCGTGATTTATACCACCTGCTGACGACGCTCGGGACGTTGCAGCAGCCAGGCAACACGCTTCGGGTTTGCCGCTTTTCAAGATACGCGATTACGAGGCACGAAATCAACACCGGAGAACACCACCGGCGATAACTATCCGCCGAACACTGGCGCGTGGTGAAAAAAACCCGCGCAAAGAAGTTACGCCACCGGTTTACACTTTTACTCGGCTAGTTGGATTCGTCTGGTACGATTTTGCCATTCTGCGATCCGCGTCTGCGCCTAGTCTGGCTGGATGTAGCGCCCAGTATGCGGAGAACGCGTTCGAGTCGATAAGTATCTGTTGGAATTATCGCGCTAATGGCGGTGGATAACGGCCGAGCTAGGACGATAATTATTACCTGCGAGTGGTCCCGCTTTGAATCGTGCCGGAGATCCGCGAACGACTGAATGATACGCGCATGCACACACTTCCTCGTGCGGGTCACTTTGCTCTGACGCAGAAGCGACCGGATGGGCCGCGCCGGCCCCTAAGGGAGTTAGGTTGCTGGATAACGCTTGGATCGATCTCGGTTGAAAAGCGAGCAACGAGCCGAATTTCCACGAACGTTTCCTCCCTCGTGGGTGCAGTAGGAAGAGTTGAGATTGTTTTTTTACAAAGGATGCGCGCTTATTCGTGGTTGAACAATGCGACGAAGGGCCGTGGATAACATCTGGAGATTTGGGTACCGGAGCATCGCGATCTTGACGAAAGAGAGGCCGGGCTCGATGTTATCTGGTTTCTGGAAATTGTGCATTACGCGATGTACATACGAAATGGTTCGCGCATCTTGATGCACGTCCTACGATCAACGAGCAGAAATGCAAAGAAAGGCGCGGCCACAGTTGCAGAAACTTCCTGAAAGCCGGAACGGCACAGACAGCGGACTGTATCGACACCGGCGCGGCGTCGTAAATCTTTGCCTCTTAACTCCCACCGATGATCATTGTCCCCGTCGCCTCGCCTCGTGTCTTCTTTCGCTTGTCAAGTTGGAAGATTTAAAAAGCAACGGAGGAGACCATTTCTCCCCGAGCGTTGCGTAACGTACAACGGAAAGAAGAGTCGAAGGAGAAGAAGTTGGTTGAGCACCTCTGGTTAGCACCGGCCGCATAAATCTTCCGTATCCTCCGTCGCACTCACCTCGAAAAGGACTCACCTCGGACGATCGACCGCGTGAAATTAAAAAGGTCGGTCCTGGCAGACTCACGGGCTATCGGTCTACGCGTTAGAGTGTCGTTGACCTATGTCCAGGAAGCGGCGTCCTTCGACGACACACAGCCATTCACCGGTGGATATTCGGTTTTATTCGATCGTTAATTTGATCGATCTTCGAGGTTGAGATGCGCGCGGAATGCGCCGAAGGATCGCTTGTGAGCGTGGAAGAAGAAGGCGGAAAGGAGCGAGAGACGGAGCGGGAGTTGGTCGATAGAGAAATTAGGGGTGCATTTCTTGGAGGGAATTCGCGTGGCCGAGTATCGCAGAGGCCCCGAAGATCGGCATTTCGATACCTCGAAGTCGTACACAGAGGAGAGATGCCACGGCGCGGAGAGACGGTCCGGTCGTTCTTTTCGGCGGATGGGACGGGAAGGAGAGGGAAGGGTTAAAGGAGGAGCGAGAGAGAAGCCGGGTGAAGGAAGGAGGGGACTGGCCCTTGACGCATGACTCCAATGACACTCGTACCTATAAATCTCGTCGCGCTCCGAGCTCCGCGCGGCCGAGTCCATATATTACTATGAGTTACGGGTGTAAACCGTTTAAACATCGGATTACCCGTTTTACATACTGTCTTTAATATTAACACTTGCGTCGGAGTTGGGCTAAATCAGTCTGGCGGACCAGGAGCCCCGCGTTATCGCGTTCGCACCTCTTCGCTAACCTATCCGTTGATTAATTAATCCCTAGTCACGGTCGTCGTCGTAGTCACCCTAGTGACGGTCGATGGAAGGGCAGGGGTGAGTACGCGCGATTAGGCTTGGACGAATAAGATGATTTACGGATAGCGATCGAGGGGAGCGTTATTACTTTCCGTCAGACCGTATATCACTGCTATACGGAGGGCGGGGGGAGGCGATACTTTAACGGGCAAGCGAATTATAAAGGATGCGCGTAAAGCAACTTTCTTGGCATTCTTTTTGATCTGTTTCGACGAGGACGAACAACGGAAGAGTGGCCGTGGCTATATAGAGTAATATACTAGCGTACACCGGGCATATTGATCGATCGATTCGTCCGTATAATTGCTCGAAAAGCAGCACGAGCAAGAAAAGAGGCGGTTGGAACTCTGCTAGGACTCGGGCACCCCGAGGAATTCCTCTCGCTTGAAATATTACCGCGAACGCATTACCCTGCACCGGGGGTAAGAAGAACTTTAACGGACATGCGCGCACGCACGCTCCTCCGAATAACGGCGTGGGAGCGAGGGAGACCGCGCGAGGAGAAAGCGAAAGAGAAAAACGGAAGGAATGAACTTTGAAGTGCGCGAGAGAAAAAGGAGAGAGGATCGGGCGACGCGGGGCGAACAGAGAGCGGGAAGAAGTAGAAAGGAGGTAGGAGGCTGATTGGCTCCGAAAAAAGGCGATGGTACGCGGTGCGCCGCGCCGGTGATTTATGTCGACCGGCTCTCGAGAGTCCCCGTAGATTCGTTCTCTACGCCGGCTAATACCCCGACGTTATTTGGCTCGATAAGAGGATTTCACCGGGGAATGAAATAAACATAATCGCTCGGGTCCGCAGTTCTGCTCTCCGCGCGACAAGTTCTACATACAGTGTTTCCCAACTTTCTCCGTCGAGTAGTATGCCTAGTAATTACCTATTGTTGTTACAGGAGGGCTGAGCACCGTGGCCATAATCAGGGTGCAAGTGACGGACATCAACGACAATCGGCCAATCTTCGAACCGAGAAAGTACAACGTTACCTTGAAGAGCGACGGTCTGATGCAGGGACCAATTTTGAGACTGATAGCCACGGATCTGGACGCGGGTCTGTTCGGTCAAGTCGCGTATCGAATCACGAACGGCAACGAAGCTGGCGTCTTCCACATCGATCGGAATACAGGCGAACTCCAAGTTGCTAGACCGAGTTTACTATCCAGGTCGCCGTTACATCAGTTGAACGTGACAGCGACAGATGCTGCAGGCTTGAAGAGCACGTTCGACGCCGAAGTCCGAATCACCACGTCCTCCCCAGGGCACAGAATCGCCAGCTGCGAGAAGCCACGGTACACCATCACCGTTAAGGAGACCGTTCCCCAGAACAGCATCGTCGGCGGCGTGAAGGACGGAGCCGTGTCGTCCTCGTCATCAGGTAGGTTTCGATCGAACGTCCGACGGTGATTAACGATTACTCGGCAACCATCTTGTCGCGGCCTTATCGATTTCCGGTGACGGAGGAGGAGTGAAACCGCCGGTCGTCGCATACCAGGCTTAATGCTGAATGCATCGAAAACGTATTCCACGCGCGGCGTTACCGCGTTAGCATAGTCGCGTCACGAGAAAACACCGGCGACGTACCGAGGGGCACGGTTCGCGCGCGCCATCGTATCCTCTCCTTTCTTCTGGACCACGGTGCGACCGACGCGGCGGCATGCAAAATCATACGGGGGAGTCTATTGTGCCGCGCGGTGGAGCAACACCAATAGAGTTTGGAGATTTGGAGCGTGAACGCGCGAAAGCACAGCTGGCGGACCAGATGAAGTAGAATTTGAGAATGCGGCGGAAGGGTAAGGTCGATGCAGACGCGATTCTCGAAGGGTTAGGAGCGCGATGGCGGCGGCGGAGAGGGCGGAGGGGAACGGCAAAGGCGGGAGAGGTACGTATCCGTGTTTCCACACTGGTGGTACATCCGATGCAAGATACGGCGCGTCACGACCTGCGCTCACCGCGCCATATACCCGATGCACCGTGTAAAGTGTCTGGTGGCGTATCGACCGGCACGGTTCGCTACGTTATAGGCTCGAGAATGGTGGATAGTTTACACGATGGTGCCTTACCGGTGGTCGTATTGTTCGGCCGGCATGGCCCGCATATGCAGCCTGTTGCATATCAATGCGCGAACCCCGAGTGTGTTCCTCCTCCGTCGAGCACCGCGTCGTGCCTCTTTCTCCATCTCTCTCCTTCACTTTCGCTCCCTCGCGCTTCGTCTTCCCATGGACCAATCTCTTCTTTCGCGGAGTCTCCCGATCGGTCTGTTTCTGGTCGCGCGAACGCGTCCCTTCGCACGCGATCGAAAGAGAGAGACGAGGGAACGAAAAGTGTTTCTCGAATTCCTCGCGTTCGCCACGGCGCGATCGGGATCGTAGATAAATCGTAATTACCACGGTGCGGGCGACGTCGGCGCAATCACGCGAAACCTTCCCTTCTTCTTCCACCTCCGGCGGGATTAACTGCTCCGTTCGGTAAAGGGTAGTAGTTTAAGACACGGTTCGAAGCGTCGCGCTCTTTCTATATCGATCCGATCGATCCGGTGATTTCGGCTTCCAATCGGCCACGCGTCCCAACGGGGAATCTGTTCGCGTGGAAGATCGAGGTCTGGCATTTGGGCCCACAATATTTGACACACGGCAGCCAATCAGATTATCAGATTAAAGTCGGACGAGCCGACGCGGCGATCGTCGGCACAGGTGGCGATTCATTTTGTGAGAGCTCGCGCGCGCCTCTTCTCCCTTGCATGTTTCTCTCCTCTGGCAGGTTCTTTACGTTGCTGTTACATGTTATCTGTTCTTACACCGCCTATACTTTCCAGGAATTCCCTGCGAACCTCTTTTTTAGCGTGGGTCGAATGTTTATCCTTTTGTTTTCCACCGTGCTCTCTAGCGCGGGGAGATTTGCATAATTATTGGCGTGGTAACCGTGCGGACATTAACGGCGAATTCATTAATTTCGTATTTATTGTGAAACATCGAATCGCGTTATCAGATCGCCGGCGAAATGCACCGTCGGAAGACGTTATTGCCGCTTTACGAGCACCTGTTTTGATAACGGGCCGGGGGTGGGTGGAGAGCCGTGTTCTTTTTTGAAATACGAAAAACAGTGCTGGTCGTTAGAGGGGGCGCGCGATCGGCGAAGAAACGAGGGCCGTTAAAAGCAACGTAGACGAACTCCTTATTGGGCAGGGTTCGGACGGTCGAATACGGACGGTTCCATAAAACCTGGCGACAAAGTGAGGAACGCGCTTCATTTTACGGCCGAGTTTATGGTACCTGGCAGAGGGAATCATCGACTCGTGATCGCGTCGACTAAAGAGACGACCGGTCTTATCTTATCCGCGGAACGAGCGGCCGCTCCCAAGTTTTCTCGGCTTTTCGATCGCTCTTGTACCATACATACAGTCTCTTTCTATGGATGAGACGGTTAAAGAAGAAAAATCGTAGTATTCTTAGAAAGAGCCACCTTGTAATACTTCCTCCTACGGGTCAACGGTGGATGTCGAGAACGCGGAATTCTCCTTGAGAAGAGAATTATCTAATCCCACTGATAAAGCACCTTCGACGCGGCCAACTCTAATTTAATCCGTTGATCGAAAGTACTGGTAACGAGATCGAATTACGCGAGAGGATTCCTTCGCGCCGGTAATCTCCGGAGTACTCTTCTCCTTGGAGCGTTTCACGCTTTTTCTAACCCTGGGATTCTTGCGGAGGGAACGGCGGCTCGGAGTGGTAAATGCGAGAGGAAAGGAGAAGGAGGGTTCGCGCGAAACAACGGAGCAGGAGGAAGGTGGAAGATGGAAGAGAAGGAGAGGAGAGGAGAGGAGAGGAGGGTGGACCGTCGCCGTCGTCGTCGTCGCCGTCGTCGAGGTCGCATAAATCGTCGCGAGTCGGATACCGGGCAGCCGAACGCAAGCCGCCATTGTCCCAGACTTTTTGCCCCTCTCTCTCTTTCTTCCCTGCTGGAGCTGCTGCTACGGCTGCTGCACTCTTTGCATACGCTTTAAATATCACCGCTCTGCTCGCTTTGAGGGCTCCCAGCACCACGACTTTCCCTCTTCTGCGCTCCTTTTCGACGATACCCGTCGCGGAGGGGAACGCCGAAACCCGAAGGTTCTCTCGTCCTATGCTCCTTTTCTCCCGGTTAAACGCACATCCACCGAATATCCAAGAAGTTCGTCCCGAATATACAGACGTCTGCCTTTCGAAGCGTTTTCTCTTCGGATAGGAGAATAGGGCTACGGTAATAGGGGTGCGGTACTTAGAAACGGATAATTCTAGTAGATGGAATTTTAGAAAATAAACGGTAGGTTTATTATCGGCTCGTGTGCGACCCTCGCTGGCCCCGGAAAAGCGGTTTCGAATTTTCGGAACCGAAACGAGCCGCTAATCTTATCCTCCTGGCACATCGTTAGTCTTTAACGAATTTAACGACGACAGTAGGTATATAAAGATGAACGGGTAGTGGCGTCGTTTCAAAGTGTCTATAAAGATACACGGAGATATAATTCGGGGACCGAACTGGCCGTGTTACGACCTCTTCCCAAGTTTCGTAAAGAACCGATTTCAACGATGGTCGAATTAAAAGGAGGAAATTTGTGGCGAACACCTCACCTTTCGGTGATCACCAGGCGGTAGATAAAGAAACGGCGGTTCTCTGGTTGTCGTTCGAAATGAGAGGCTCGCAAAAACCACGGATTCCTTCCTCCTCGAAGATGAAGTATTCCGCGTTGCAACAGCCGCTCGATGCGCTAGCTTCCCATCCTTCACCGAACCTTTTCTCTCTCTCTCTCTCTCTCTCTCTCTCTCTGGATCTTTGGATCTTCCCTCCGTCCGGAGTGTACCGTGCTTTCGCCGGACTTGCAAATTTCGCGCAGGCATCGTCTCTTCTCCGGCGAGGTCCAGGGCTGCGCCGCGGCTTTGCATCCCGAGAGAAGAGACCCAACCTAAACCGAGAAGGTTCTGGAGATCCGCGGGGAAAGATAGCGAGGACTCTCTGCCACGGCGGGACGAATGCTCGCAGTCTGATTTGCGTAATTCCGTTCGTGGAATTTCGCCTCCTCCTCGCCTCTTCTCTCTGTCGCCGTTTCTCCGGTAGCTTACGCTTTATACCGAAATTGTACTGGAACCACTCGTGTACCGTAGACTCGTGATGCTTCCCTCTGCGCGGCGGATTCGCCGTTTCCAGCGAATGCGTTTTTATGCGTCGGAAAGAAATTTGCCCCCGAAGCGCGTCCAATTCTCTTAATTAAGAAACGATGTTCGTGCGGGTACGATAGCTATTCCCGGGGATCGTTCGTTCGGATCTCGATGACCCGGCCGCAGGTATTTGTACAGGTTCGAATTAAGAGAGGTGTATTAGCATCTGTGAGAGAGCGAGCGAACGGGGGAGACGGGGAAGGAATGCGGGAAAGGGAGAAGCGTATGATAATCGTCAGCTGGCCGAGCATTCGTTTACATCATTTTCGAAGGTCCGTGTTTATTGCCGGATGTAAATCGGTCGCTCGCGAATAGACGCGTTCCCCGATTCGTTCCGACCAATCATGAGAAAGTTCAGCCGGGTGAAATACCGCAGTCACTTGACTGCAGCTCGTAACGGCGGCTTGTGGCAAGGATGGTTTAATAACTCATTGGTGTTGTACTCTTCAGAGAATAGACCTCGGAAGAAATTCCTCCCGTTGTTCGTCGACCTACTTTACTCGTCGGAAAACTTCCAAGCAGCGTGACTCTTACGGAGTAGGTTAAAACAGGCAAGGAAAATGAGGTAGAAAGTACAAGCAATCGGTTATTTAGGACTCGTTTTACACGATGTACAATTAAATGTAGAAGAACTTTTTGTCGGCGGTAGGTATGTGTCGAGATATTCTAGAATGGAGAGACAGCATTCTGGCTCTCACTTTCGAACGATCTATCAGAGGAAACGTATCATACTCGGTATAACTGTAAAACGTTCAGATGTAAATGACGCTCGAGAGAGGAAAAACGCGTCTTTTCCAGCGGAGGAGCGATCTGTACGAGGTCGATTACAGCTGCAGAGTCGGAGAGGAAGAATCGTTTGGAATCGAAGACGGGCAGATGTGGAAAAGTGGAGGATCGGCGCGGCAAGCGCGGACAGATCCACGTGTAAACGGTTTCACATGGGTGTGCGTGTGAACATATAGATACACAGATAGAGGCGCGCTACGAGGCGCGATCAGCGCGAGGGGTCTGCGATAAAACGATAAAACGGGGCCCCCTTCCCGGGCAACGTTAGGCCTATGATGCGCCTTCTCCACTCTTAACTTGCGCCTCGTTATCGCCGTTTACCATCTCACGGTCTAGAGAGCGGAAGGTCCTCTATGCGCCCTCCGTACATGCACGTGCGCATCCATATATCTTTTTC